TCATAAAAAAAAATTTTTAACTTTCATACTATCATATTAGAGCATTTATGCACTATAATTTCGCATAACACATGCATTGCACTTTTAAGGCAATTTTATTATTTTTTGCATTTTCACGTGATCTTATATGTATTATCATTTTAAGAAATTCATTTTCGTTTAGAAATTAAGAAAATTTTGTAATCATGTAGTTAATCATGAACGTAAGTCTGTAACTTCCAAATTATCAAGCATAGATTAGTTCAGTGTTGGGTTTTGGACACATTTTTAATTTTAAATATTTTGGACAAGGTTTTGGACATAGAAAAATGTGTCCATAACCTGTCCATAACCTGTCCAAAATTGTCCAATTTCCCAACATTGGATTAGTTTATATATGGTTACTTATTTCAGAAGTTTAATTATAAAAGAATTTTAGATGATAGACGTAGATAACTTTCAGAAAATTCTTTGAAATATTAAATTTTTTATATTATAATAATCAATAAAATAATAAAATATATTTTAACTATATAAAAATTTTTTATTTGCATATTTTGCATTTTTTGTAATTTTAAAATGTACATTTTTTATTTTTGCACTGCACGAATCCGTGGGCTCTATATCAGATTGTTTTTAATAAAAATCTTTTTTTTTTTTTTTTAAATTTTAGAGGTTATCGTTATTAGATTCTGCTCGAAAACCAAATATTTGTTTATAAAGATTATATATATATATATATATATATTTGTCCAACTAATAATTAAAATCGTCCAAGTTTTACAATAAAATAATTTAAAGTCAAAAAAGCCGTGATCAAATATTACGTAATACTTCACAATGAAATTTCCTCATAATACGCTAAAATAAATCTGTATGAATTATGTTTTATTTAAAAGATCGCTTGATTTGCTATTGTCTTTTTGGAGTCATTTGCTTTGCATATTGTTTCCATGAATCTACTTTGTTAGATAAAGTATTGGTTATATTTTAGTACTTGCACTTTTATTACCAACTATTTCTAAGAAAGGCTAGGTTTCAAGAAATAATTACAAAATAAGTTGGAGCCGGTTATCTAAACATCTTGAGCCTTACGATATATACTGTATATAATGACAAAAAAAAAAAAACGATAATCCATCAAAAAAAAAAAATATTTCTTTGTTAACTGAACAAATTAACGAAACTTCAACGAAAACTTATAATATAAACTGATTTGTATAAATGATTGTAATGATTGATTCCATCAATTGCCATTTGATCTGCCTTTTCTTTTTTTATCCGGTATCATTCTAAATTTGAAAAAGAAGGAAAAAAAAATTTCTCAACATGGTCCACTTTAACTTTTTTTAATCATTTATTTCTTTGAACCGCATTATAAAGAAAATGCTCCCTGATTAAGAACAAAGTGAAAGTTTTTTTATAGATGATACAGATAATGTATGTTTCGAATGAATAAAGTTCTCATTGAAAAAAAAAAAACTTTATCTATCCTTATTTGTAATCTTATTATATGAATGAAAGAAACAAAATTTTCGGAGTTCATTGAACGGACGCGGTAGATTTTTATCCTGGATCACGTGAAATGATGATTAATTCTATTGTTTAATTTGATTTTGTCAATCGCGTAAATATTTTTAATTAAAATATAAAAAAAAAAGTTTAATTTCAGAGACGGGAATCGATGTAAAATTCATTCAAAAAAATTTTGGAATCACATGAACATGAAAATATGATTAATAGCAGATTATCATTTGTACTTCATACTACTTCTCTTCGACATATGTGAGTGCTTTGCGGTAGAAAGGAAGGAGACTACCAAAAAAAAATTTTTATGAGCTAAATATTATTTTTTTTAGTAAAATAAATCCAGATTTAACATTAACTCAAAAAAAATTTTTTTTTGGTAGTTTCCTTCCTCCCTTTCTACTGCAAAGCGCCCATGTATGCCACATTTTAAAAAATAAATGTAGATAATTATTATGAAAATATATGTAGAATGCATTTTAGATTAAAAACGAGCAATTAACGAATTCTTCTATATTTACAAGATATAAACGAATCTGCTTGTTGAGGTCTTCCCATCTCGCTGATAAGTCTCAGCATATAATTTTTCAAATGATTCCTCTTTTTTTATTCCCATGCAATTGCCCCAACTTTTCCCGTTTACCGATCCTTCCATTTTTATCATCCGTTCCGCGATCAGTTCCTAAAAATCGAGAAATCTATGTAACTAGTTTATAATTGTGCTTTGAAAACATGAATATCATTCCATTAGCCTTGTCAAATGTCTGTGCGTGAAACCTGATTTGACTAATTATAGGATTGAACCGTTGATTTTTTTGTAACTCTGGACGAATCATTTCCGATGTTTTCTTCCTTGTGACGTTAAATCGTAATCTTCAGGGTCATATACAACACGAGATAACAACATATCAACTTTATTAGCGTTGTACGAAATATTTTATTTTTAAATTTTTTAAAAGTTTCATTAAAAAAAAGCAATGTACTACTAGTAATAATTGATTGGTGTCCAAACAACGGATTAACTTTAAAAAATTGTAGATGTTGATGACTTATCTACTGTTACTTTTTAAATAATGTAAATCTTAATTTTTTATGGTTATATTGATAGTAAACAAAAAAACGGTATATTGTCTAAAGTAGTAATATCGTTTATGGCATATAAATCTCATCTGTTTAGACAATTTCTTTTTTTTTTTTTTTTCCTTCAACCTTTGTTGAGGTTAAATTTTTTTTTTTTTATCCTCCCTTCGCTCTTTTTTTTTCTAAAAAAAAAAAAAAAAAAAAAAAATATTTTTTGATAAAAAATTTAATGAATATGATAAGCTTTGATGTTTATAAATGCCTTTTGGTATTTTCAATATTATGTTCTTTGACACGTCCCGTTTTATCCGATTGTCTCAATGCGCCTATTGAGAATTTTGACTACTTTCCTAATAAGATTATTTTTAATACTGAAGGTAATTAAACCTTTCATTTTTATTTACAGGTTTAAAAGAAAAAAAGTTAAATTTTTTTATTTTTATTTTTTTTTACGTCTAGTTGGAAAAAGAGCCTTTGATGTGACGTATCACGACACTTATGTCGTCGTCACCAGTAAAAAGTTCCTTGAAACTTACGTCCTGTATTGTACCGCAGCACAACCTGCTGGAGCTCCTGCTGACGCCACGAGTTATATTCAAGTTCCCGTGAAAAATGTCGCAGTTTATGATCCTTCAATTATTTCATTTATAGAGGTAAAAAAAATTCAAAAAAAAAAGAAAGAAGAAAGAAAAAAGACTACATTGACCAACGTTCGTCATTTTTATAAAGATTTTAGGAGAAGAATTAAAATTGAAATACGTTCTCGATAAGAAGACGATCACCTCTCCTTGCCTGCAAAAGCATAATGATCTATATGAACAATTGAGCCCTGTGAATACAGCTCAAATGGCCGGTACCGATGTCATATTTCAGAGAAGTCCTTCAATAACGGGAGGAAAGTTCGTGTCGATCTTCATCGATGAGGAAACGAAAGGATTAAAAGTAAGGTTCCGTTTATCTTCTTTTCTGATTTATACGTGTATGTATATGCTTACTTTCATGTATATGTATGTATGTATGTATGCGTGCAAGAAAGAGCGCATTCGCTTACGTAAATTTCTAATTTTTCAATGATCATTTAAAAATAAAAAAAATTAGGGAGCTGAATGGATCAAATTTATCTCGCTCTTTTTTAATAAAACGGACGTCGCCAATGAAGCTTACAATCAAATTTTAAATAATTACTTATGTCACGTTGACAATCTTTCTAAAGTGCCAAATAAAACGAAAAAGACTATAGCTTGGGTATCTCTTGAGAGTGATAATACTTTCACCATAAAACACTCTTTATTTTACTCAAACATTACTATGGATGCAGGTGTGTAAAAAAAAAAAAAAAGCTTGATAAAAAATTTTAATAATCATTAATTGATTTAAATTGTTACTCTTTTATAGCCGCCTATCCCTTAATCAGCATGATGTCGAATGTTGATGTCGTTGATTTACACAAAGAACTTAACGACGCGTACATTGTTATCGATTTATCAGAACTTACCCCACCAAATGATACGCTTGATGCGTGGAAACGTCTCTTTGGATATCAAACATCGATAGAAAAACTTCCGAATTTCCTCACCCAAAAAAGATTGTTCCGTACTCGCAAGTTGTTAAATAAAATGGCTCATAATGATTGGGATGAAACTTCTCCATCGCGACCTGATTTAGTATTACAGGATTTAATAGCCATACAATATCCATCATATCAAAAGGATTATTATGTTAGGTGGTTCGATAAATTCGCCGAAACTGGGGATGTTGAAATTTTAACAGAACAACAATGTGATGAAAGTACTTTTGGTCTACCAAAAAATGATTTCGGAACTTGCGTGCCAATGCAATTCACTGGTGATAATAAAGACATCAATGGAAATAAAGTCAATGCTAAAGATGGTGATGGTAAATATGATGACAACAATAGCAATGATGAAAATAAGAAGAAAGTGAAACCTGGTGTTATAGTTGCAGGAGCTTTAGCAGGAGCTTTTGTTATATTAGGCCTTGGAGTTTGGTCATTAATAGTCGCAAGAAGAAAGTACAGGGAAAGATTTGTCAAATTGAAAGATGAACATGAAAGTCAATCGAAAGGAGTAAAGGAAGTGAATGAGAAATAAGTAAAATGTTAAAACTTATGCTGGAGGACTTAATTGATTTGTATATTGAAAATTTTGTTATTTCATTTCATTTTTTTTTAGTTGTTTTGTATCAAATTGTATTTACATTACATTTTACATTATGTATTTTATGACCCATTGAATAAAAAAAAAAATTTATAAATATTATATGATTGCCGATCTAATCCTAATAAAATAAACTCCTTTTTTTTTTTTTTTTTTAATATAATTTAATCTAATTCCGCTAGAATAACACCACATTAAAAGCGGCAGCCATTTCCTCACCACCAGATCCACATCACATCATCCCGTACCACTTCCTCCCACACCACTTCCTCCCACACCACTTCCTCCAACAACACTTCCTTCTATAACCTCTTCTCCCTCTCTAGCCTTCCCTTTTCCATTCTTCGCTTCTTTACTGTTTCTTTTTGACTTACCACTGCCAACCTCCCACCATCTATTAAAGTTTTGTAGTGCCTGTTGACCGCCAATTAAATAATCCCTACCTGAAAGGGTACTAGTGTTCCCACTGTTATTCCCACTATTATTCCCACTGTTATTGCCACCGCCGAGATTTCCACCACCTTCATTAGGATTATCTTCTGAATCTGTTGAAGAATCGTAATAAAGATTACATATTACCTTACAGCAATCATACGTTTTACCGATTACGTTTGTTAAAATTATTAACGAGCAAGTTATTAATGTCAATAATGGTATAAATTTATAAATTATGACGGATTTTAAATATAGAATCTACCAAAATAAAAGGATAGAGAATTAAGCACAGATCAGCTTAAATCAAGCAAAAAATCTAATTAAATAAAGACATTAAATCAATCAAAAGTCGATCTAAAATGCTTACTTGGATCACCAATTGAGGTATATCTTCTAATATTACAACAATTAAACTACCAAAATAAATCCATTTAGCAGAAGAATTGCTAAAAGGAGCATCTAATGAATGAATATTTGCTACTCGTGAACTTAATAATTCTAACGATACTAAATCAATATAACCCATTACAAGAAGTATCGTTGTCGTTAATGCATTGTTGCGAGCAAACATTTGAAATAAAGTATTATTCCCAAGAAATTCTACGAGAAATACAAACATTGCTGTAAAAAAATTTACTGATAATGGTGCCAACAATATAACAAGACTGCAAATGGGATTGAAAAAAAAATTTAGTATGATGAATTATCAGGAGATCGGTTGAATGATTCTTTTTAAAAATACCTTGGTATATACAAATATGGCACATCTTGAACATTATAAAATAAGAACAAGATGTCCATGATAAAGTCTATTAATATCACGATGAATTTGAACAACGACATGCTGTTGCCCTATAAGAAAAAGGAAAATGATTTTTAAGTAAAAAAAATCAGGCTTGAATAAGTTATTAATATCAAATAATCACCTCAGGGTATGAATTATGAGCAAGGAACACTAGCACAAAGAGAACAAAAAAGGTGCAAATGATCCCTGCTATTTCATATCTATATACTGTCCACAGATTTTCTAAATTAAATCACAATTAATTTCAATAAAAATGACTTGACTCGACTTGTTTTTTTTTTAAGAAAAAAAAAAAAAAAACAAAAAGACTCACTTATTTCCATTACACCATAGTCGGGATCCAATAAAGCGGTAGTATTTTCGAAATTAACTAGTTGAGTAATTAATTTATTCTTAACTAAAGTATTCATATCACTAAGAATCATTTCCGTGTTCATTTCTTCTTTATTCCTCGTGGCTATTAATCGCATCTGAATTAATACTGGTAAAATTGGTAAATCATCTCTTGAACTATCATATTGGAACCGTTTCGATGTATGTAATCTTTCTAGAGGTACCGGTATCAATTGTGAAAATGCGATTAATAAGTCATCGAAGAATTGATTTCTTTCTGGGGATGAAAAGTTATTAAAATATTGTGTTCCAATCTCATCCAACCGTAATAATACATTCTTATTATCTAGAGAGATTCGACAAGATGATATTTAGCAAGGATATCATCATACCCCACCAAACCTTTGCATTCTTCCACTCACCGGTAAATTGTTGATTATCCGGGTTATTAGTTTTAACGTTCCAAGTACCGCCTTTAATACCGATTAAAGGTTCATTAAATTCTTTATTTCTAACAAAATTGTCATCAATTTCAATATAATAGTTCGAATTGAATTGGTTAAATGTCGAAGTCAATATTTTTACTTCTACTTCGGAAATCCTTGTACTAACAAAATCTGTTAATGATGCTGAAAACGATTGTCTCAACAGATCTGTATATGGCGTGGTAGCATTTAATTCAGTTATGTTACTAGTGTCGTACATTCTTTGGTAGATTGATATGTTTCCCGTTGATAATACTATGGGATCTTTATAATTTATCCTTATCGTTGACAAATTTATCGGTATGGTTGCATTAATTGGTGGTGTTGTATTAATTATTAGTTTGTTATTGTATCCTACATCTATAGAAATTTAAAAAAAAAAAAAAAAAAAAAAAAAAAAAGAGAAAATTAGTATTCTTGCTTTTCTCCAACAACAAATTCTTCAATAGAAACCAACTTACCCCCTTTAATGTCAATCTCTATATCATTGCTAATAATATACCAGTATCTACCGGAATCATCTTCGCCAGGTATTGCGGTCCATAATGTATTATTATTTAATACATCATACAATATCCCCCTCATTAATGGAATCCCCCAATCTTTTCCTCGATCATATTTCTTCACATTCCCCCCTTCCCCTTCAACCAAATTATATATACTTCCTTGAAGAAAACCATCTTGCCTAGTACCAATCATCACAAATCCACCATGACTTAGTGGTAACACGTCATTGTATATAATAACAACATTCCCACTTCTCTCCGATCTTATTTCAAAACCGGGTAAATCTTGAAAGGATTGTATGGATCCTATGCTTAAAAAATCAATTATTTTGATAAAATATCGTAATGTAATGTCATTTTGTTCACGAATAAAACATGTATATCCTAATGATTTGTCAATTGATTGTGTACATGACCTTATAGAGATTCGTACATTTGCCAATGATGATGCATAGATTATTGCGGGTGATGACCAAGTGAGTGCCGATTCATGGAGAAGGGTTATGTAGACTAGAGAATGTGTGGATGACGAGGAGAACGATGGAGATGTTGATGTGGGGTTTATTGACGAAATGGAGTATACTAGGCCGTATCCTCCATCTAATGTTTTGAATGTATGAAATGCATCTATTCTATATGATACTGATGATAGCATCGGCAGTGTGATCACCCCCTCCGACATATTATGCAACCTTTTCCTAAATTTACACGTAAAAGGGTATTAAAAATTCAACAACGGAATACATCAAAGAGAGTGCCAAGCTTGAGATCTCACATTACCCAATACGATCCCAACCAAATCTTCTCCAAACTATACTACGGTTATCATACGATATCACAAATAATAATCCTCCACTATTAATATCATGGGTTGTTACAATCGTTGCTATATCTGACGGGAATGATGCAATCATCTCTAGGTTCACTTGATCACTCAATTCCACTTCGCTATGCTCAAATAACAAATTTAATACACGACTTGAAACATTCCTCTTTAAAGAGAGAACATGATACTTACGGATCGATTATATGTCCATCAAGCGTCGTGATCAAACCCATGAATTTTACACGATTTGGAGGTTCATCTAATAATTTCAAATACCTTATCAACAACAAATTATCTAAAGAAAAAATTTTTTTAAGGTTAGCATGTCCAGTAATTACGTGATCATCTATCGGATGAACCGAAATCCTCACCAGGTAACGTGAATATACTGATTCTATTAGTGGGACAAAAATTAAATTCCGAAAATCCGAAATTCAAATTAACATGAATTGAAGTTCCATTGGGGTACAGTGATCTCAACGCAAACACTCTCCTTGTAATCCCCCCTGGTTCACAACGTTGATTTGTTAAACGAATGGTTAATATCGACGAATCTTTAAATGTTATTGCGTTAATCGGATATAATGGTCCATTTAATGAATCTTCATAAATCGTCAGCGTATTGTCCGAAAATATGCCAATGGTAAAGAAAATGAGAAGTACGATTATGCGTCGGGTATGTTGTGATATTTTGAGACATGAATGAATTTGACGCGTCATTGAATAAGTACTTCTTTTCGACTCATGAACAAAAAAAATCCAAGCACCAAAAGAAAAAGGATTATTTATCATAAAAGCCTCAGTTATAAATATTTTAAATGTTACACTAAAGATTCCATTTATACAATCCCGTCCTGGAAGTGTTTGTTTTTTTTTTTTTTTTTTTTACACAGTCTCTCTTTCCATTATATGATATGATTGTGGCTCATATTATCCGAAATTTTTTTTTAAAAAAAAAAAGACGAGTTTTTTTTTGAAAGGGAATAGATTATTATTTCTTTTCCAAGACGGACTAAAGATGAAACATTTTGTGGGCATACATTTTTTCCTTTCAAAACGTATAAATTTGGTTGTACCCGAACGTAAAATTAACCATGTGCTTTCAATTAATTTTATCGGGTTAGATAATTGCTGTAAATTTAAAAATCTAATCGAAGATATACGTTGCATTCAACCACAAATAAAAAATCAAATAAAGCTTCGCAAAAAGAAAAACCATTTATATCTATTTTGCTATAACGGAAATAATGAAATAAAAAATCTTGTGAAATCTCATTCTTTTTTCCCAAATATTACAAAGATTCTTGATTTTTTACTAGCTTTCATTTGGGGCTTAAAATTGAAAACGAGTTTGATATATAGGTGATGTTGCGTGTCAAAGTAATTAAAATTAATTGTTGTATAAAGACGAGCAAACAAATTTGAATCCAATTGTTTGCTCCCCAGTAAAACGGTCCAGACTCCGAAAGAGAATACATCATTACATAATTTCGCATACAATCTCTTTTACAAATTGAGAAAATAACTGAGCCGCGGATCACCCTTTTCGGAGTTAGGGTAATCGGAAAAGCGCCTCCCAAAGTGCACAAAACAATAATTTAATTTCAATGTGGCCAGACCCCTTTGACACATCTGTTATCTAAGTAAAGTAAATTTTTTCCCGGGAAGATTTGATGAAAGTGGGATAAATTTCTCGCGAAATTTGTGACCCTTTTCCTTTTTAAACTCCTTTTTTGTTCTCCCCATTGGTACTTTTTTTGGATCGACAAAAATAGAGATTTAATGACTTTTGTGCTACTTAATTAGTTATTAATTATATGAATGTAAAAAAATATATATGTCTATCTAATTTGAATCATTTTTCATTGTTCAATCATGAAAATTTTTTTATAGGCTGAAAAATATATTTTTTTTTTTTGTTTTAAATTACAATTAGCCCCAGTCTTTTGAAAAATATTACCAAGCATAGTACTTTGTAGGTAATAAATCCTGCGGGGTGATATTTTTATTTTATTTTTAAAAAAGAAAAAAAGAAATTGCTTGTGATTTCAAGTTCATAACAATATACAATATGTCCTACATCCAAAACTTCGGTAATATTTATTATCTCTGGAAACGTTTCAAGTCAACATTTATATTTCCATTTTAAAACGATAATGGTACACCATACTACCTTAAAATTCATAAATGGGTTCAACAATTATTTCATTTCGCAAATCAAAGTCTGTATAAAGAATTAAAAAGTTGAGAAACAGTTAAAAGGTGTTACGTAACGAGCTTTGTCAATGCAATGACGCAATTTTTTTTTTCATTGATATTTTACCAAACTAGTTTCTATTATTTCCAGTTTTTAAGATCTTGTAAACTTCTTTGTTACACATTGTAATTGATTTTCGCAGCAATTTTTCAAGTATGGTGAGGACAAAAAAAAAAAATTTTTTTTTTCATAATTCCGAATGAATTCAATCAACAATGATTCGAATTTAATAATGAACAAAAATTATACTAGTTATTTGCACGAATTCTTTTAAAGGTCACAAGGGCGTTTGAATTTAAATGACAAAAAGATTACTTTGTTAAATTAAAAATTACTTTCTTCCTTGTATCCTAATCAATTTCGTTCATTAGGCGGAACGGAAAACATTGAGCACGACCTTGCCGGGAACTGCCACGATTCTCTCAGGAACATTTTTAATCACGCACACAGATATCTCGTGTTAACGAGACGATGATCTCGAATGATTTTCATTCATTATCTTTCCGTAAATAAAACGCGTTACTAAATGGTCATACGATAAAAAGGGTCGAGAATCCAGTTAATTTGGTTAGTTTTCAACGTTTTGTATTTTACGAGTCCCTTTTTTTTTTTATTCCTCTCTATTTTTAGTTAAGGTTGGTTTTAAATAAAATCTTGTTGGTACCCATTTTAGCAAATTTATAATGATGAAATTATTTTAAAAAAAAGTTTAAAAATTTTTGAGGAGGCAATTTTTTTTTTTGTTTAGCTTACCCCTGCAGAATCCTCTCATTGTTTACGTAAAAAAAATAAAAAAAAAAAGTACGTGGGGTATCATCAATTTCTTAGAAAAAAAGTATGTGTTAAATTATTAAATTATTTACATTTCCTTTTCTTGACACTAAAATAATACAATAAAGAGGTAGCAAATTGAAATGTAACGAATACTATGTCAAACATTGTCCGTTTGATTTGTGAAATCCAAAATCGGAACCGTGTAAATAAAATAATAATCTCACTTTTTTTAAACTATTGGCGGAATATAAATTCCGAAAATTTCACAATGAATTTTGGGATTGATAAGCACACATGAGAAAAATTTGTTATAAATACGCGCTTTTTATAAGTTTTTCGTTTTCGAAATTTAATCGATTTTTTTTCCCTTAAACATAAAAAAGAAAAATTTTACAAGAAAAAAAACTAAAAAAATCAAATCAAATCAAAATAAAACAATGACAAAACCCAATCCCGTTAAATATCACACGAGGGGACTACAAAAAAGTAACTATCAAAGAGTTCATAAAACGAAGGTAACACCCGACTATCGACTAAATGATAACTACTTTTCGTACGAAAATAAGTTATGCTATCCTCAAGTTACAATGTCAACAATTCCTATGGAGAAGGTGGAAAATGACATGGAATTTGAGATTAAGCCTACTATCAAAAAAACCTGTGCACGTTGTAAGGAATCAAATCGGTGCGTCAAGTTGGTCTGTTCAAGAATCCATAGATTGGAAGAATTAGTAAAGAATATTGTGAAAACTACCGAAAAGAGTGCGATGAATGTAAATAATAATAATAACACTTTGATCAAGGTTAAAATTGGTTAAAAGATTCATTTTATTTCTCTTTCATGATAATTAGAAAATTAACGTTTCCCTCTCTTTGTATACTTAATAGCAGGAACGGCAACCCCCTTCCCTGATCTCACAGGTATTCGTGACCCAACCTTTGCAATTACCGACTCCTCTTCCTTCTCCAATTCAAGCCTTCTCAAGTCCTCCCAATTTCACAAGTAATGATTTTTCAAATTATAGCTTGGAAGAATTACAAAAGGTCGTGTCGGCCATAACCAACACAATGAATGGGAACGGTTGCGTTAAACCAAATGCTATTCAAGCCTTTAATCCTTATAATTAAATTTAGGTATATATCAAAGGAAATGTGTTTTGCTGGCAAAATCGAAAGAAATTGGCAAAAACTTTTTTTTAAAAACAATTCTGTAAGAAATCATCTAAGTTTGCAAATTTTTTATTTCAATCAATGATAATCTATGATGTTCTTTTTTATTTAATCTTGAATTCCCCTAAAAAAAAAAAAAAAAAAACCAAAAACAAAAAAAAAAATATCCTTTCTCTCATCTTTTTGTAAGAAACTTCCTCAATCATACTTATCCTCAATCAATTTTCAAACCATTAAGATTTTTTTTTTTACGACTTACCCTTTACTAAGGGGTCAAAATTACTTAATAAAATTCTGCAATTTTTTTTAAAAAAAAACCCCCGTGAAAATGATTCGTTCATATCAAAAAAAAAACCCAACTGTAACACCAAGGAATTCAAACTCCAGATCGCCAAAATAGACGTACAGGTATTAAAGTATTAACTGAAAGGATTTTATATGTTAAGACTAAGATCGGTATTCAATCATTGTTTCCATAAAAGCAATTTTGGTATATGGACGTATGGGAGTCCAAATCGGTAATGCCCATACTCGACCATGAAAGATCGCGCTGGTCTAGTAATTTGTCCAAATCAAATCGAGGTTCAATACCATCTTAAAGAAATCTATTGTGATGAATCCGTTATAGTCGTGCATACATGCGCTTAAATGATCCGTATGATTTCATTCATTCGGATTAAAGAAACAATCAAGGAACTTTGACTTGCTGCCCTGACTCACACGGGATTCATCCCTTTCGAATTCAACAATAAATAATGTGTCATCTCATTTACGCCCTAACCGTTTTTTTCTTCTAAAAATATACTCGAGTGAAATCTCTTTTTCTACATAGAACGTTAATAAACAAATCATTTTATTCCCCATTAAGTTGTATTAAATAGATTAAAGAATTGTTGATCGAGAGATTTCTTTCAGAAATTCCCTTAAATGGTAAAATTAACACACAATAGCAAACGATAATAGATAACCTTTTTTTTTTTTATATTTAACAATAATGTCTAAAAAAGACGAAGAAAACCCTCGGTCGTCAACGGATAATCTTGCGAAAACATCCTTAAATCTGATTCGAATTGTTCTTGTTTTTAGCGAGCCCCCCCCCCCCCCCCCCCCCCCCCCCCCCCCCCCCC